GGATGCTTCTCTCCGTATTGATGCTATGATTAACTATGAGTTTTAATAGACGAACTTCGAATCATTCCATACAGTACCCTTTCCCTCCCTTTCAAACTCGGCTTCTGTAACGAGACGCTTCTTTTCCGACGATTTACGAACCTTTCTGTTGCTTGTTATAAAATGAACTTTGTTGTCATTGTATCCGACATCACTTTCCAGGCGCACGCCTGGGAAGTTGACTCAAACATACGTTAATACCAGCTACTCCCTTCTCTTTCCTTATTGTTTTGATGGGATCGTTGCTTTCTTTTTCAACCTCAGTTGTACCCTTCTTTTTCTTAGGCATGCGTGACGTCGATCCCGCCCGCTATCGGGTTGCCGGGATGATATCTTACGATATACGGTGATGATACGGCTCAGCCGAGTAGCACTCAGGGAGACATCTCGAGTCTTATACGGCATACCAAGAAGAAAAATAATTTTTTTAGCCCCCTTCAATCGAGTCGGCATTGGGTGATATCAGGCTACTGAAACGTTCTGAACCGTGAACCATGCATTTGAAAGAGGGAGTTACAGAGAGATGATGCGATAGGAAATTGAGGAGTACACGAGGCATCCAAGTATTGTGGCTTCAAGTCAGTTATACTAGTATTTGCTAGCAGCTAGGTGATAGAGGAAAGTTAAGATCTCGAGATCACAGCGTTCAGTACGCACACCTTCCAGCAGGTTAAGGGCGGCTGATGCCGAAATTTAGATCTGCGAAGAGGGCCCTGGACACCTATCAGGGTTACGCGACGACCGCACGAGACCAGCCAATCTTTCTCTCCAACCACATCCAACACTTGCTCGCCAACATGGGTCTTTGCTTATCAACCACCTCTCGCCTTCGATCCACTGAAAGAATCGGCCGAGGTACAATATGTGGCATGTTCCAACGGCAGAGGTACGTTTCTTCCTGTTATGTTTACCAGCTTGTGATTAATGGGTAATAAATTTTCCCAGTCCACACATATGGATCCATATCCTCGATGATGATTCTCTGCTCAACATATTTTGCCTCTATCGGCCATTTTTTTTAGGCGAAGACCGGAATGACTATGAGCGTCTCCACGGGGGGAGGGCACCATGGGTCCAGGGACGCTGGTGGTATAGACTCGCACATGTTTGCCAAAGATGGCGAAACCTCATACTTGGTTCGGCATCCTACCTGCGTCTTTCACTCGTCTGTACGAATGGCACGCCCGTCGGAAACATGCTCGCATATTCATCTCCCCTTCCGCTCACTGTTGATTACAGCAGTAAAGATGGCATCACTGCAGAAGATGAGGAGGGGGTATTGCTTGCTCTCGAGCAGCGTCATCGCGTCCGCCACCTCCGCCTTGTCTTGCCTGTTCGGAATCTGCAGAAGCTTGTCATGGCAATTGATGGGGAATTCCCGATCTTGGAATACCTGATTGTGGATTCTTCGCCGAAGTACGGCACGGTCTTGGAGCTCCCAGAAACACTTCAAGCACCACTTCTACGTCACCTTGCACTGCGGGGCTTCGCCTGTCCAATACAATCTCGATTACTCCCGACCGCCGTGAGCCTTGTCACACTCTGTCTTGTGCTAAAACACCCATCCGCCTACTTTCAACCAAATGTCCTGCTTCAATGGATTTCATCTATGCCCCAGCTAAAGAGTCTCGTGATCCACTTCACATTCCCTGTTTCCAACCGTCTTGTGGGGAGGCAACTCACACATGCGCCAATCACGATACACATTACCCTTCCTTACCTTCGCTTCTTCTGGTTCAAAGGCGTTAGCGCTTACTTGGAAGCGGTTGTTTGTCGGATCACGACCCCGCGCCTCGAAAACCTGTAAATTCTGTTCTTCAAGCAACTCACGTTTTCCGTTCCACGTCTCGCGTAGTTTATGGACACAACAGAGAACTTCAGGTTCGACAATGCCATGATCAAGTTCAAGGGCAAGGAAATCCATGTACTGATGTCTTTCCGTGGGGCCGACAGGTATCCCTTCTTTGTATCGATTGATTGCCGGCACCTTGACTGGCAGGTGTCTTCCGCGGCACAAATTTGCAATGCGATTAGCCAAGTGTTCTCTGCGGTGGAGCGCCTCACTCTTCGACACGAGGTCCATGGTCGGTCATCTGAAGAGCACAACGATGTCGACCGGATCGAGTGGCGCAACCTTCTGCGTTTAGCGACGTGAAGACCCTTCGCGTCGACAATGGGCTCGTCGAGGAACTCTCGTTGTTTACGACTGGAGGACGGAGAACTTCCTCATGAGCTTTTACCTGAACTGCAGGAGCTCATATATATAGGAAGTCGCGATACCGGTGATGCATTCACCTCATTCATTGATGCCCGCCAGAACGCAGGTCGCCCTGTAACCCTAGTCCGTCGTCATAGGCCAAGACCAAGACCTTCGAAGCCATCCTCGAACGACCCCGCGATCACATCAGCGAGCGGCGAAGCTGGGAATGACATCGATACTCAAACCCGGCTCCTACACCCGAACCACCGAGCAGTTCATATATTGCTCGGACTGCTTCCCATTCCCTTATCCTGCCGCCTTACATCCCCACCACGGCTATGACCTTCCGTCCAGGGTCTTGCGACATCGGATATCCCTCAAAAATCACACTTTACTAGTAGTTGGAATATCATCTTGGTTTTTCGGGCACGTAAACTAGACTACGATATTGTCATGGTGTGTACTATGTCAGAGTATATTTCAATTGCCAATAGATAACGCTAAATATCGTCTGTGTGGTGTCTACCATTGTGAACGGAGTACTAAGGTAGACGGGAACGTGTACAGTATGTCCATGGCAACGCAAAATCGAATAAGTCAAATGTGCATACAATCCCGAACTGGTTATACTGTATTAGCAATGGTGGGTATTGGTGTGGGTGCTCTCCGGTCAGACTCGAGTCTGGATAAAGCAGAACTGAGGAGAGTAAGATCGTGGGCTATTCGTTTGAATTTCTTTGGGAACAATGTCGCTTGGACAATTTGTCGTCAAAGTGTGAGGCAAGTGAGGTAGTAACTTACCCGTCGTCCGACGGTATTTTCCGAAACTGACAAGAGGGGTCGGAGTTCGCCGTAAGTTAGGCCTCGACAGAACTGTACAGTTGGTGTGGCGAGTGCCTCCACTCGAGGCGCCAACGTCTGTCTTCAATTACCTCCCTGTCCCTGGCATGGGTCTCAGCTTGTCCACTACTACTCTCCTCCAATCCCCCAAAGTCATCAGCAGATTTACAACGCCGGGCCATGTGTCTCAACGACAGGAATACGCTTTTTGCTCCTGTTATGAAGATCAGCTTGTGATCTTACTTGGTCCACTGGCATCAGTCGACTTAACGCATCTATCTACCTCCTCGATGATGTTTCTCTTCTCAATCTATTTTCCCTATATCGACCGGTTCTTTTAGGTGAAGACGAAGGTGACATTTTTCTTATCTTCCGCGGATAAAAAATGAAAAGAGATCGCGAACTCTGGTGGTACAAGCCTTGCGCACGTTTGTCAAAGATGGTGAAACCTCATACTTGGGTCAGCCTCCTACCTGAGCCTTTGCCTCGTTTGTGCACATGGCACGCCCGTTGTTGACATGCTGGCGCATTCACCTCATTTCTGCACATTATTGATTTCCTCGGTAAAGATGTTGCAGATTATTCCCTCTTCATCTTCTAGATGAAGGAGGAATAATCTGTGCACACCCCGCCGTGATAGCGTGTGCCGCATGCGCTTTATGACCCTTCAAGTTGTTCCGAGTCTGTAGAGGCTCATCATGGCCGTCAAATTTTGAACGCCATATCTTCTCCATCCCAAACTGAGGTTTTGCACTTCCGATAGATCTCACTTATGAGCTCCGTGAACCCCATCTCGCTCTGTATTATCGTTAGCCACCCATCCAACTACCGCCAAATCTCCATTTCAACGGATTTCAGTCATACCTCAGCTAGAGACGCTTCTTTTTTATTTATTTTTATTTATTTTAAATCCGAGTTTGTATTCCGCAGGCGTGATACAGGTGCGGTCGCTATACAGCATTACGACTAGGTAGGGTGTGTTACTGGAGCTACCCGCGAGGGGGGTTTGGAGGTACGATAAGAGGGTGTATACTGGCTTTCCGAGCTTATAGGAGTCATTTGGGCCCAGGCTGGGTCCGCGTGACCGCTCGCGTCTGAGTGGGGGTTTAAAAGGGTGGCTATCCGGGCTCCCATGTGGTCCTTGGCTTCGCGCAGGCCTTGATCTCTTCGAGGAAGCGTAAGAGCCCTACTGAGCACTGTGGGTGTGCGTAGATCGAGCCAGGCGAGAGTCCCGGGGTGGCCAAGCACCCGGAGGTGTTTGGCACTTTGGGTATAGTATCTGTGACATTCCAACACTACATATTCCACCGATTGTGTTCGGGCGCCGCATTCCCAGGCAATCATGTCTGGCGTGACGGTTTCGATGGCATGTTGTCTTGCGGGGTGGGTGTGGAAGGCATTAGAGACACTCGTGATCGTCTATTTATTTCCTGTTCCCAACCGTGATGTGGAGAGGCAACCGATGCGTATGTCAATCATGACGCGTGTTACACTTCCAAATCTTCGCTGGTTTGTATCTCAAGGTGTTAGCGCGTGTCAGCACTTGGAAGAGGTTTCTCGTTGACTCACCACTTTTCGCCTCGAGAACCTCCAAATTGACTTATCAACTTCTGTTTTTGTTTCAGTTTATGGGAACAGAAAACAGGTCCGACACGGCTAATTCATGTTCTCTAGTAAAGAAGTTCGCGTGGAGGGGTATCCTCGTGAGGTAATCTTTTAGTATGCGCTTACAGTAGTCAACTGTTCCCTGCAGTGGAGCGTCTCGCTCTTAGTCAGGTCGATCGCACATAGTGACACAAACTCTGGAACATGGAGACCCCTCTTGTCGATAATGGACTTGCCAAGGTAATTTCTTGTTGCATACAATTGGCAATTGCATCGTTACGCTGCTTCTGATAAAACAAAAGACATATAGACCCAAGGCTGGGTAGCTCAGTGGTTAGAGCACCTGGTATATATCCGGGGGTGGCCTGGTTTCAAATCCTACTCTGGTCACTTTTCTGTCACATAAAATCCCTGTCACAGCTCAATTAGCTGCAGGTGTGGTTCCAATCATCATAATGCCAGGCATGATGGTCACGGTGTGGGCAAGAGGAAATAAGTTAAGGCATTTGTGCATGAGCCTTGAGGCTTGAGGTTGTTGTTCTGAAATGCTGCTATAGCTTGCGCTATTAGTTGTAACTGATAGCAGAGGCTGTAACTGATAGCAGAAGCTATTGCTGCATTTCGGAACAACAACCTCACATGCAAACACCTTCAAAGGCCCTTTTTGAAGCAGGAAGTTGGGTGTTTTGGGAGCCTGTTACTGGCAAGTTACTTACCTCATTCGAGTCATTGACGTGCGCTTGAAGGCAGACCACCCACCACGGTAACTCTGACTCATCTATAGAGCATTACTTGGACGCGCCCTCATACCGTATGTGATCCACCCAGCTGTCCATCCATCTCACATCAACATGACCAGCAAGCTCTCACAGAAGGGATATGGAGGGTGCCTCACAAAGTTCAAGGAGCGCCTTGGCCTCCGAGGACAAGAGGACCTTGTCATCCTCGCGAACGTCTCGATGTCGCCGTTCATTTCGCATTCTAACTTTGAGCAAGTCCTTGCGGATACCTTCCGTAAAGTGGCCGAGGAGGAAGTTGAGGTATGATATCATTATGCGCAGCGATTTTCTTCGGGTTCGAATCACATCAGGAAAAATCTGATTTGCTAGCGAGGGCTAGCGAGCACTAGCGAGCGAAGATTATTTCTAAATTCGTATTATCGTCGCTAGTTTAACCCGCGATTCTAGCAATAGATTATATGTTTTTTTTTCACTATTTTCTCAATAATGTGCAATAATTGAGTGTTTATTTTTCAATAACTACATGCCAGCCGGGCTATGTCTACATTGTACTGAAGCCCAGTAAATAGTTTTCTCTTCCCTCCTCTCCACTGCCCCGACATCTGACAAATGTTTCATCGTCGGCCGGCCATGGGGACAATTCCACGGTTGATCCATCGTTCCCATGTGCCGAATGATCTAATAGCTCCGCAGTCAATAAAGAAAACAAAAAAACGGGTGATATGTGAAGAGGTGGGAGAAAAAGGAAAATAAAATAAAAACTTACGGTTCTCATTTGTTTAGCGTTCAGTGGCGCACCGACCATTGTGCATGCGCGCATCGCAAACATTGCGCGCGTCTTGGATGAGCGCACGAACGTCCCGAACGGGCGATCCCTGAGCGAATACAAGATCTCCTCTAGATCTACATCACCGATGAGCCAACCCCCCACGGTAAGTCAATATCGGGTAACAACCTACAGTATTTGACAGGTGGGGGAAAGCCAAATAATTAAGTAGGCAATAATAGACAGAAACACGGAAATGTTGGGGCAGCAAGAAACAAGGCGACTCGAGGACGCGAGGAAATGCACTAAGTTAGTCGTTGGGGCGCCGGCCTTTCCGTGCCTTTCCAGAGGCGCACGGAGGATCATCTTCATCGAGAGACGCTTTGTACAATTGAATAAAGGCTTGATCCAGCAACTCCAGGACTAAACGTGATGGCAGTGGTCGAGGCATCGACTTGGGGATACACTGAACAGCCTCCGTCTTTACGTCTTTGCGAGGACGAAAGGAAGGCCTCCGACACCAAGTCCGACCGAGCGCTAGTGACATTACTTGATTGGGGCACAGGATCTCTTCGACGATGACAAACCCGCGTCGAGGTAGCCTGATCAGCAGAAGTATGCAATCGAGACGGGAGAAATCCCAGTGCGGTCCGACTAGACGAGATGCCACCCTCCAAGTCAATACCCTTGTGCCTTGATTAGCCCAACATGCTAGCTTATCCGAGAAAGCGGGGAAAAGGAGAAAGCCACAAATGCCACAGGAGATCAGCGGGATAATAATTTCTGACGAAATGAAAAACTAAAACACCAGGAACGCGCCCGCTTGCAGGAGGGGCGCTTGGAAGAAAATGTGTTCGGAGTTCGGTTTGTGGTAGACTAGGTGCCTTGGGGTGGGTCGCGATGATCGGTACGTCCGAGCGGTGGTTTGCATCGAGGTATTTGGTACATTGCATCGCCTCGAGGCGATGGCAAACGATGTAGATCGGGGTGAAACAACCGTTTGCGCTTAGTTTGTGCGTAAGTGGGTGGCACGTTGTGTCAATTCGATGACAGCACACCAATTTGTGTTTGTGGTTGACTTACCTTATCGGCAGCACGGTCGTCAGCGTGGGTCTGAGAGTCACCACGCGTATGATGACGTGTTTCTACGACCCTTAAGACACCAAACATAGACGGGATTTTAAAAGACGCACTAGCTGTTTCTTGGGGAACGAATAGTTCGCGCCAGCGGGTCCTGTTGTCCAAGACAGCAACTGTGGATCTACGTGAAAAGACTGTCAGGGAACACGAAAATCGTGACTTGGTAGGAACAACACAGACCGCTGTATGCTTCATAATGCCTATTGATATAGTCCGCCGTAGGATAGTCTGGTGGGTCGCAACCGATATTCGTCTGGCCAGTGCGTTGGTACACACGCACGTAGTCGACGAGCATCTCGGAGGGGAACGTCATCGTCGACAAATCGATCGACTGCCAATTCGCTGCAATGGATGTTTAGAGTGGCCGTATCAAATAGGATAAGTAGATGACATACGCGACATGCCCGAGTTGATAACTATTGACTAGACACAACCGATGAGCAGATATAAGGTAGATGAGTGATATGACCTTACCATAGGTTCCTCAGGTATTAATCGCGCACTGACACCAGAGCCATCCGATCCCTGATCAGGTCCGACTGCACCTGCACCCATCCTGATCGTCGGTTGGCCGTCCATTTGCCATGTGATGAACCCATCTTGGCGTGACTTGGGATTTGCAAAGTATTCAAAGCCTGCGCAATCGTAATGAGAAGTTACGACTACAGCTGGGGATCATCACTTAGCGGTGCAGTACTGTACTGAATACAGATAGACTCAATCACCACCGTGGGCCTGCCACAATCTTCGAGGTGGGCAGGAATCTAGCTGCGTTGTCCCTGCTGAACTGCTCTGCAAGTCCGCCGTTGGTGGGAGTGTGTCGCGTGACAATGACGATATAGCCGTCGGCATATGCGCGGATCGCTGCGGAGAGGCGCGGGTACGTGGTCGAGGGTGGGTGAGGACGACCGGCGTGAACAAAGGGTCGAGCTTGGGATGTATGAAAAGACTCCCTCATAGATTACCCTTTGTCAGTTGGAAGGAATACAAAACCCTGAGTGACTGTGAGAATCGAGAATCGAGAAAGAGTGGCTTCAAAAATACACGAGTGGTGGGTAGCGACACAGAGCGTAAGCGGTTGACGGTTGTGTTGAAGTGGACTTGTTAAAAATTTCAACAAGTCAAATTTCAAAGTCCGCCGCCCAGCCACCATGCACATTTCACGCGTGCAATGTCACCAATTCTCCTCGTCTATAGCTAACTTACAGTAGCTTGCCGCTTTCATGGGTGTAATTGATATTTTTGCAATGCACGCCCCACAGAACTGCGTTCGTCAAACCGAGCGTGGGTGCCCGTCGGGCGCACGTGACGCGTGAGTTGTAGGGCGCTCGCTTTGCAGGGGCGCGCATGAGTTGTACGGCGACCGCAGTAGAGAGATGTAGGCGAACTTGGAGGCCGACAATGTCGGTGTCTCGATTTTCGGTAACGACTGTCTCATCAAGGAGGGCGAGCGACACCGTCAAGCGCACTGGCCAGATTGTCGATGTTCCAGTCGGCCCTGCACTCCTCGGTCGTGTCGTTGACGCGCTCAGTAATCCCATTCAAGTTGACGGCAAGGGCCCCATTCAAGCTGCCGAGCGCCGTCTTGCCACTCTGAAGGCTCCCGGAATTCTTCCTCGTCGTTCCGTGAACCAGCCCATGATGACTGGTATTAAGCCCATCGACGCAATGGTGCCCATCAGTCGTGGCAAGCGTGAGCTTATCATTGGTGACCGTCAGACAAGCAAACCTGCTGTTGCCATTGACACCATCCTCAACTAGAGGTGCTGGAACGAGGGTAAGGATGAGGAAATGAAGCTCTACTGTGTCTATGTTGCTGTTGGCGAGAAGCGCCCTAGTATTGCCCAGCTTGTCAAGACTCTCGAGGAGAACGATGCTATGAAGTATTCTATCATCGTTGCTGCTACTGCTTCGGAGGCTGCTCCCTTGCAGTATCTTGCTCCTTTCTCGGGTTGCGCGAATAGTGGTTGCCCATCGGGCGCGCGTGATGTGTGACTTGTAGGGCGCCCGCTTTGCAGGGGTGCGCATGAGTTGTATGGTGACCGCACCAGCTTTGTTTATGCGGCACTGCGGCAGAACATTGGGTAGTATGTTAGAGAGATGTGTATGGTATTGGTAACGATTATTAATAATTTAGAAATATTTTGGTGTGCAGTGCCTTGATGATGGAAGGCGTACGTAACGATTATTGATAATTTAGAAATATTTTATGTGCAGTGCCTTGATGACGGAAGGCGTACGTAATGATTATTGACACTTATCTTCGCTAGCCCTCGCTAGCCCTCGCTAGCAAATCGGATTTTTCCTGATGTGCGTGTACTCGAGGCTGATAGTAACATTCTCGCGGATCATCGCAAGGGTCATATGCCTATCTCTTAAATTAACGCGCGAAGAGCTTGGCAATGGACTCCGGCTTGGCACTTGGAATGTCCAAATTTGTCGCGTGCTTCGCCGACTGACGCACTGAGCTGTGGAAAAATAGAGATAAGCTTGCTTGCCATCCCCAAAGCAATTGTCAATTGCATACAGAGAATGGCGCTTATGCATTTATTCGTGGGGTGAGGCTGGAGGTGCCAGTGGTTTCTGCGGGGGATTCCATGGATTCACTTATCTTCACTGCCGCGTGTTGGAGCCTCAGGGGTCGTATGTCAGGCTATAGACTTTAACTTGGGTCGCCCCAGCACACTGCCAGAGCATCTTCGCCCACCTGCCCGGACTCGAAAAGTTGTGCCACAAGAAACCGA